TTGGCAGTCATCCTTCCAGACTGTGTAAATAAAGCTTATTGTCGACGCAACGCAAAGAAATTTGAGGGTAAATTTTAACATGTGTTGAACGCGTCTCCCTTTTTGTTTACATCGAAAACCAGGATTGAATTGTGGAGGAAACACACACACACCATTGTTAATTTACCCATCAATATCAACATTTATCACAGAAAACTTATCCCCTATAGAAAATATCGAGGAATGAAAATGCACATTATATAATTTGCTTGGAGGTAGAATATGACTGTAAAATATCCATTTCATAACCTGTAATTATTTAATTTCACTCAAGGGATAACTGGTGTACATATATATATATTTTAAAATTCTTGCATTGCTTATTATTACACAAAGACTATACATGTATAGTCTTTGATTGTTATATGTTGTTCATGGGAGTGTTTTATGAAATACATCTTCATTGATATTAAGACGATAAGTGAAATATATAATAGACATTTATATCTTACGATGCATTAGATTTATTTTGTGCAAAAAGCAGCAACTAATTATATCTAATATCAGCCTGCAATCAGATATCGGATATGCTACCTGTGTTACAATCATTATACGGGATAACTTAAATTGATGAATTATTTACGCATTCCTTTTTTTTTAGGTAGGTGACAGTCTGTAAACAAACTGTTTGTTTCTGTTCCCTAGAGCGTTACACAGCGTAATATCTTTAGTAAAGGAAACCATCCAAAAGAATTAACATGTGATAAATTCACAATTTTTCCATCGTAAAACACATTTCCACCGTCAGAAACTGGAAAGAAAACGAGAAACCGAACACCATTCCAGTTTTCTCAAGCCAAGTGATCGCATCCGAACGAAGCCGTTGCGATGGCGGGCGGAGGGAGAGAGGAGGAGCTGGAACTACTTTTGGGGAAATTGCAATCTTTCGGGCCCGGAAATGGCCAAGGCGACCCTGATGCTGCCAAAGATGTTATTGTGGATATTGCCGAGTTATTGGCCGTGGACCTAACACCTGCCCAATACGGTATGTGTAGAATTCTGAAGCAGAAGAACACTCGGTAGCCATGCGAATTGCACCATAGTTATAGAAGTTTTTGAATCCATTTGTATACGCAACATTTGTGTTTTGCTGTCTCTTATCGATTGATACTTGGTAAATAGAATGTGTCATCTTAATTAGATTAAAGAAATGGCCGAATTCTTTGTAATTGATTGGCAATGAAATAAAAGTAAAATAATAAAATATAACGGAATGTCATTTTTGCCTTCTATTTAGGTTATCATCCTCTGCCAGTCTTGTCTTTCTATCTTCTCATGTTATACATTTTGATTAGGTACTAAATCTAAAGTTCTTTTGATCATATTCTTTTCTTAACATTATTTTTTTAACGTCATTTCTCTCTCACGCCTAGACCTTCCCAGAACTCGCGCTCACTTATTTACCCTTTCACCCCCCCCCCCCCTCTCTCTCTCTCTCTCTCTCTCTCTCTCTCTCCTCTCTGCTCTCTCCTCTCATCTCTCTCTCTCTCATAGAACATGAAACGGGGGCAAATTATACTACATACCCTCTCTCTCTCCTCTCTCTACCTTTCTCTCTCTCTCTCCCCTCCCCAACTCTCCCCTGACCGCCCCTCCCTTCCCGCCGCCTCTCGGACCCCTCCTTTCCCCTCCCCTTTTCCCTCCCTCCCTCGCCTCCGCGCCTCCGCCACCCCTCTCCTCCCCTTCAGGACGCAAGTGATAGCGCTCCGAGCCCCACTCCAAGTTATTCCAAGTTCAAGGCTGTTCCGATCCCCACTCAAGTCTTATTTCAAGTTCCAAGGCTGTTCCGAGCTCCCACGTCAAGTTTTATTTCAAGTTCAAAGGCTGTTCCGAGCTTCCCACTTCAAGGTTTATTTCAAGTTCGAGGCTGTTCTCCGAGCTGCCCACTCCCAAGTTATTTCAAGTTCACGCCTGTTCCCGCGCTCCCAGGTCAGGTTTATTTTCAAGTTCAAGGTTGTTCGAGCTCCCACTTCCAAAGTTTATTTCAAGTCTCCAAGGGCTGTTCCGAGCTCCCCCTTCAAGTTATTTCAGTCTCAAGCTGTTCGAGCTCCCCACCTCCAAGTTTATTTCAAGTTCACCAAAGGGCTGGGTCCGAGCTCCCACTCCAGTTATTTTCAAGTTCAAGGCTTTCCGAGCTCCCACTCAGTTTATTTCAAGTCAAGCTGTTCCGAGCTCCCACTTCAAGTTTATTTCAAGTTCAAGGCTGTTCCGAGCTCCCACTTCCAAGTTTATTTCAAGTTCAAGGCTGTTCGAGCTCCCCTTCAAGTTTATTTTCAGTTCCAAGGCTGTTCGAGCTCCCCACTCCAAGTATTTCAGTTCAAGGCTGTTCCGAGCTCCCACGTCAAGTTTATTTCAAGGTTCAACCTGTTCTCGAGCTCCCACTTAAGTTTATCTTCAAGTTCAAGGGCTTGTTCCGAGCTCCCACTTCCAAGTTTATTTCAAGTTCAAGGCTGTTCCGAGCTCCCACTTCAAGTTTCCAAGTTCAAGGCATCCCACTAGTTTACAAGTTCAAGGCTGTTCCGAGCTCCCACTTCAAGTTTATTTCAAGTTCAAGGCTGTTCCGAGCTCCCACTTTCCAAGTTTATTTCAAGTTCAAGTTTTTCCAAGAGCTCCACTTCAAGTTTATTTCAAGTTCAAGGCTGTTCCGAGCTCCCACTTCAGTTTATTTCAAGTTCAAGGCTGTTCCGAGCTCCCACTCCAAGTTTATTTTCAAGTTCAAGGCCGAGCTGTTTTATTTCAAGTTCAAGGCTGTTCCGAGCTCCCACTCCCACTGTTCCTCCCACTCTTTATTTCAAGTTCAAGGCTGTTCCGAGCTCCCACTCCAAGTTTATTCCAAGTTCAAGGCTGTCTCCGAGCTCCCACTCAAGTTTATTTCAAGTTCAAGGCTGTTCCGAGCTCCCACGTCAAGTTTATTTTCAAGTTCAAGGCTGTTCCGAGCTCCCACTCCAAGTTTATTTTCAAGTTCAAGGCTGTTCCGAGCTCCCACTGTCCAAGTTCATGTTCCGAAGCTCCCACTTCAAGTTTATTTTCAAGTTCAAGCTGTTCCGAGCTCCCACTTCAAGTTTATTTCAAGTCTCAAGGCTCTTTTCGAGCTCCTCAAGTTTATTTCAAGTTTCAAGGTGTTCCGCTCCCACTCCAAGTTATTTCAAGTTCAGGCTGTTCGAGCTCCCACTTCAAGTGTTGTTCCGAGCAGCAAGTTTATTTCAAGTTCAAGGCAGGTCAAGTTTATTTCAAGTTCCAAGGCTGTTCCGAGCTCCCCAAGGTCAAGTTTATTTTCAAGTTCAAGGCTGTTCCGAGCTCCCACTCAAGTTTATTTCAAGTTCAAGGCTGTTCCGAGCTCCCACTCCAAGTTTATTTCAAGTTCATGGCTGTTCCGAGCTCCCACTCCAAGTTTATTCAAGTTCGAGGCTGTTCCGAGCTCCCACTCCAAGTTTATTTCAAGTTCGAGCTGTTCCGAGCTCCCACTCAAGTTTATTTCAAGTTCAAGGCTGTTCCGAGCTCCCACTTCAAGTTTATTTCAAGTTCAAGGCTGTTCCGAGCTTCCCACTTCAAGTTTATTCAAGTTCAAGGCTGTTCCGAGCTCCCACTGCACTTTATTTCCAAGTCAAGGCTGTTCCGAGCTCCCACTTTCAAGTTTATTTCAAGTTCAATGCTGTTCCGAGCTCCCACTTCAAGTTTATTTCAAGTTCGAGGCTGTTCCGAGCTTCTTTTGCAAGGGTTTGGCTGAAAGATCCAAGCTGCAGGTTCGGGTTTCTTCCAAAGTCGATGAGTCGATCTATTCTAAGCTCAAGTTCGTTCTCCAAGCTCTACGCCCAAGTCTGCTGGTTTGTTCCAAGCTCTACGCCCAAGTCTGCTGGTTTGTTCCAAGCTCTACGCCCAAGTCTGCTGGTTTGTTCCAAGCTCTACGCCCAAGTCTGCTGTTTGTTCCAAGCTCTACGCCCAAGTCTGCTTGTTTGTTCCAAGCTCTACGCCCAAGTCTGCTGGTTTGTCCAAGCTCTACGCAAGTCTGCTGCTGCCCAAGTCTGCTTGTTTGTTCCAAGCTCTACGCCCAAGTCTGCTGTAAGCTCTCGCCCAAGCTCTACGGATTCCAAGCTCTACGCCCAAGTCTGCTTGTTTGTTCCAAGCTCTACGCCCAAGTCTGCTGGTTTGTTCCAAGCTCTACGCCCTCCAAGCTCTACGCCCAAGTCTTGCTTGTTATTCCAAGCTCTACGCCCAAGTCTGCTGGTTGTTCCAAGCTCTACGCCCAAGTCTGCTTCTTTATTCCAAGCTCTACGCCAAGTCTGCTGGTTTGAGCTCTACGCCCAAGTCTGCTTGTTTCAAGCTCTACGCCCAAGTCTGCTGGTTTGTTCCAAGCTCTACGCCCAAGTCTGCTGGTTTATTCCAAGCTCTACGCCCAAGTCTGCTTGTTTATTCCAAGCTCTACGCCCAAGTCTGCTGGTTTGTTCCAAGCTCTACGCCCAAGTCTGCTTGTTTTCCAGCTCTACGCCAAGTCTGCTGGTTTATTCCAAGCTCTACGCCCAAGTCTGCTGTTGTTTCCAATTCTACGCCCAAGTCTGCTATTCCAAGCTCTACCCCAAGTCTGCTGGTTTGTTCCAAGACGCCCAAGTCTGCTGTTCCAAGCTCTACGCCCAAGTCTGCTGGTTTGTTCCAAGCTCTACGCCCAAGTCTGCTGGTTTGTTCCAAGCTCTACGCCCAAGTCTGCTTGTTTGTTCCAAGCTCCAAATTAGTCTTGAGGCGTGTGCGAGCAGCGGGCGCCTCGCTCGGGAAGGTTCTGGCGACCGAAGGAGAGAGCAAAAAAGAAAGAAAAAAAAAAAAGGAAAAAGAAAAAAAGAAAAAAAAAAAGCAAAAAGGAGCGAACGGTTTAGGAGCATCAGCGCAAGCCACCGCCCGCCTCCCCCCCCCCCCCCCCCCCCGGAGAGATAAGGAGGGATGGCACCTGCCGCCCTTTGACCCCCCGCCCCCCCCTCCACACACGACCTTTGACCCCCCGCTCTTCTTCTTGTCTTTGTCTTTCTCTCTGGATTTCACACACACACACACACACACAGCACACAGACACACACACAAACACACACACACACACACACACACACACACACACACACACACACCACA